TGAAGCGCCTTGAGGCGACTTTTGTTGTGATTTGGCGCTATATAAATAAAATTGAATTGAATTGAATTGAATTAATTCTCTGTAGGTGTGAATCAGTGGTTGTTTGCCTCTATGTCTGTGAGAGGCAGGAACCTGTCCACAGGGTGGATGGTTGGATGGATGTTGTTCAGTCTATCAGGTAGCGTTGTTGAGTGTATGAACTGAGATGACGTTAGCACACATTAAAACAGAAAACCCAACGAGCACGGGACACACTTAGCGTGACCAAGGTGAGAAATCGAGAAAATAACACAGACTGCAAAGTTCTGGAAAACCATCGCTTTTCTTAAACACTCCAAACCCTGTAAAGCAGATCTGCACACAGCCGTACGCTGCACACAGAGAAGCATAACGCTGGGTACGGTCTGATTAACTCAGATGCATGAATGTCACAGGCTGTGACTGTAAGAGCTCATGATGTCACAGAGGAGCAGCGACTGTAATACCTGCAGTACCAGAGTAAACACGTGGTCTACTCTCTAACACACACAGTTCAGTTTGTTAAGCATATGCAACGTTTATTTACTAATTTGGTCTTAATGACATGTTAATCACTCCGTCTCCTTGACAACCACATTTTGCATTAACAAAAATAGAAAAAATAAGATAAAATTAGGGCTGTCAGCGTTAATGAGCTGCCCCCGCTAACAGGTTAGCACCGCCCAGCCCCACGCAAAGGGGCTAGCCGCGTTAGCCGCGTTAACGCAGTTTTGCGGTAATGTCATTTTAACACAATTAACGCTGGATAAAATAGTGTTAAAATAGTGTTAGGGTCACGATAGCGCCTCTGCAGGCTCAGGTGATTCCCAGTTCAAGTCGAGCTTCTCCAACAGTTCAACGGCATCAGCAGAACTCACTGTCATCACCCTGTTGTGTACTTACTCTCTAATATACAGTCTTAGAGAGGCGATAAGCTAAAGTAACCTTCTGCTCTGTCCTGGTGTCTCGGGTCCATAAAGCCTCAGCTCGTTCAGCGTGTGCATGCAGATTTACCCACAGGTCTTGGTGATGACAGATAAAACAGTGGTTACCATCTGCATCACACATGAGGAAAGAGGACAAGGCTGATACTTGATGGAAACATTGATCAGGTTCTTGGCACTAAATCCAGGTTTTATTCTGATGCATCTGTTTTACAAATAAATCAAAATTCAATGTCAAAGCACCCGTTTTGGGCAAAGAAAAAAAAGCAGTTGATTGAAAATGCAGTCAGTGCTATTAATTTCAAGCCTGGCACTGTATCTCACAGCCCGATCTGCATATCAATTAAAACACGTGTAGGCCTCCTGTCAGATCGCTCATCAACTCTGCTTCTTTTGTGGTCAGAAACTTGGCTTCTTAGCGTCTCGCTGAATCGATTACCTGTTCCACGGTGATGCGAATGCAGATATGGAGTGAATATTAATGAAGTTTCAGAAATATTTTGAATATTTTCTGCAATCACAACACCTCGTTCACACTTTAATTGATTTGCTTATTGGACATGCCACAGTTATTCACTGGCAGATGTGCTTCTCACTCAGCAGCTTCCATTATTCACATTTTGTACAAGTAAAAAAAGGTAATATAAGCCAATTACAATAATATGGATGGTGAAAAAAAAAAACATTCAAAAGGCACCATTAACTCAAGCTAGCTAATTCTCTGCATGACTACCTTTTCATTCAGACACATGCTCATTGACTGACAGGCCAAATTAAGGCCCAGGCAGAAGCTGAAATTAATTGCAATATGCTTCATTTTTCTTTCTTTTGCTACATGAGACTGAATCCACAGTCAGTTCCTCTAGTACTACAGGATTAAACCCAAATTCAATTTTTTTATCGGTGTTACAACTGAATGATCTGATTCATTATTTGAAACTCCATAAACATGTTGTACACATCCAGCCATCGAAGCTTTTCCCGTTTGAAATAACGAGCTCACCTTGCGGTTGCCGGCTGGGGTGGAAGATCTGCAAGTCAAAAGGCTGAGCACTCGTCTTCTGGATGACCGTCACATTTTGTCCGGTCCACTTATTGGCTCTCGCTAAAGTGTTCGTCCTCCAGTCCGTCCAGTAAACACTGCCCCCAAAGAGAGACACGGCGAAGGGGTGGGACAGGTATTCGTGGCCCCTGAGGATCTCGATGACGCCCGTACCATCGTAGAGGGCAGAGAAAATGGCGTCGGAGCTGTTCAAGAGAGGCCGACAGCGTATCATTAAACGACTCTTCAAATGCATCGAAGGGGACGAGTGGATATAGGGAGATCACAGTGAAACCCTCCAGTCCACTGATGGACCTACTAAATTGTTCAAGACCCACTTAAACCAAGAGATGGCCATTGTGCCAAATATTACATTTTCTCCATTATTTCATGCCTGCTGGGAGAATTTAATGTCACACATGCCTCAGAAGTCCTACAAAGAAGATGAAGACTAACCGTGCATCGGTCCAAACAATTCTCTTTTCCAAATGGTCCAGCGTTAGTCCGTTAGGCCAGGCTCCAATCTCCATGTCCTTAAACACGATGTGTCTGCCTCCTCCGCTCATTGATGCAGCCTCGATTCGGGGGAAAGTAGCATCCCAGTCGGTCCAGAAGAGGATCCTTGGAAAAGGAAAAATGTTTATACAACAGACAAAGAAAAAACATACATCCACAAAACTGCCTGTTAGGCTTTACAAGCCATCATTTACTGCTGTTTGTCAAAGCCAGAAGCTGAAAAATGGGGTAATTGCTCGCAATAAAATGATGCTGTAACTGCATGTATTAACACAGACAGTGGCAATGATGATTGTCCAAGAGCAGCACCAGCGATCCGGCGCAACCCTCAACATCTGTGACAGGCCTGGAAATGGGAGGCCATCTGTTTTATTATGACTTTTCACAGCTCAATGAGGCCTGAAAATGAACACCATTATTGATGCGGCCAGGACACTACCCCGAGTCCTACTCCAACGCAGCAAACATCAACGCTAACGCCGGTCCACAAAGTCATCCAGAACGGACGGGAAACCGGGTCCTCGAGCTTAAATCACACGCCGACGACAACGAAACTGTGTTAGGAAGAAATATCCTCGACCGGATCGATAGCCTTATTCACTTGATAAGGCCTCCCTGATCAATGACCCACTACTTTGAGTGGATTTGAGTAATTAGATTAGAATTATTGCCCTGTAATGGAAATGCGCCTTTAGGCACCAAAAGCAGCCATTAATCCTACTCTGCACAACCATGAAATGTACTGTAGTCATCCTCCCGCTATAGGGGGAGTGCATGAGCAGATTACTCATTTCTTAAGAGTGTTAAATTGATTTTTGGAAAGTCTGGCTTTGCTCTAATCTTAAATGCACCGGCCAAAACATACAACTCATGGTTAGTTCTCAGTGAAATCCGAGCAGCACACCAGCGGCAGAGGCAAACCGATTCATGCTTCATTTGCTGATGATGGATGCTGTAGATAGACAGAGTGTAAAATTAACTCGACTTCCAGGATCGCAGTGGTTACGCACATAACCGATTTCTTACTTTTGCTCTTGGAAAAAAGTAACTCGTTTATTTTTAACATGTCTCGGGTATTTTTTTAATGTCAAGCAGTGTCGTCTTAATGTGTAGAGATCTATTATATTTATTATTATTAAGCACTGATGTAAAGCACTGAGGGTAAATTAAGATTGTGGGTGTGTACATGTTTAGGCGTCCTTGTGAGGACAGAAATTTGACATGTTGCGTCTTTTACTGCTAAATTTAAGCTCACAGTACACTGCCTGTGTCAACAGGAGTGAACCACACTGCACTGGGTCAAACAGGACCAGCTGGTCATATTTCTGACGGGACATTTTGCTCCAGACCAGAACAGAAGAAAGAGGTTTTCATACGCTGGCCTTCAATGCCATGTTATAAACGTCCTGGTGATTCAGCCTCCTAATGACTCCTTTGGCCGGTTTCCGGGTGGGATGATTGTACAGCACACATCTTTGAATGACTTTAACCTCCTGAGACCTGAGCACTTTCATAGCATGCATTTTTAATTTCTCTTTGCTATTTGGCTTTATAGAGTTCGATAGAACACCATAAACTCACAACTAATGATGTGCAAAACTCTTTATTTGGAGTCTGAACACAGCAGCATTTAGTACAAAAACTAAATGAGAAGCAACAACTGTGCCCCTTTGAACAACATGGCTCATTTGAAAGAGCAAAATTTAGTCTTGTAGTCTAAACAACCCAAAATGTGATGTCCCCACATGTGGACGCCTGTCAAGTATACAGACAGGCTCACATACGTACACTCACTTGGTTTAATAACTGAAATAACCGACTACAACTGACGATGTCTCTGTGGCAGAATAAAGACAGCACTCACTGGACTCACCAATACTTCCTCAGAAAAGTCCTCAGTAAAGGTCTCAGAACGATGACATGTTCTCACATGCTGGGACAGGTTTCATCAATTCAAACAGAAGCATGTAAATATAACGATGTGTCATCAGTTTCTGAAAGAAAACCTAAACTGTCGTCCTGGGATGTTCAGGAACAAACGAACGCTCAAGCTGCCATGAACTGGAAACAGCTGCAACACCAGTGTGACCGACCACACTACAACCAGTTTTACATCGCCATGGACTGAGGAGGTGCCCTGCTCTGAAATCCACACCACGCTGCTGTCTGGACAAAGGTTTTCTGGTCAGAGGAGACAAAGACTGAGTGGTTTGGCTAAATGACGAGGAAGGTGAGGATGACCTCAGATGACCTCAGATCCAAGCCTTTGTTATGCATCGACGTCCTGACAGAGAACATTCACCTGACCTTAAAGCAGACAAACGTAAGCAATAATCCTCACCTACATGATGTGTGTTAAAATGATCAAAAAGCATGATTGTAATTACTTTCAGACCTTTACCAGTTTATCCGTCTTTTATTCATTTACTTTGTGTAACAAAGACAGCATGTGGACAATCTCCACGCATAGAAACAAGACATAACCTGCACCTACTTCACACTGACTGAAAAGGACTTCTGAGAAGATGTAAGATATTAAAAAGAAAACTATTATGCACATAATAGCATCATTGTTTCACTAAGTGAGATAAATATATACACATATATCCAGATAAAAGAATAATAACGTCTGCATCGCTCAGAGGCTAAAACTTTATGTCCTGAAGTTTGACTCTTCCTGTTCCCACGTGCTGGAATATGTTTCTTATAAAGGAGATTTAAATCACTCTAATCCAAAAAGCATTATTACAACAAAAACACACGTGAGGTACCTATAAAGCCTGCAACCTTTAAGCAATGCCTCGTGGATTTCAAGCTAAACATGACGAGCTCCCACTGTTCTCTTTCTCTTCAGGCACCAACAACATACAAAGTCTCCAGATGTGCCGTATCAGCGGCTAATAATGAGCTGGACCTGTTACACTGCTGTTGCAGACATGCTTGCTGACTGCAGGGCACAGAAAAGTCATTCATTTCAAAGCCACAGATCATTCTGCAAAGACCCTCTCTGTGCATCTCAGCAGGATAAACAACAGCACGATTTGAAAACTGGGCCCAGGGGTGAATGATTCAAATAAAAATAAAGCTTTTATTTTTTAAAATGGTGGTTAAAGTGTTTCAGAGAAAAACACTCTTGAAGATCAAGAGAGAAGGGGCAGTAAAGCATATAAAGCAGGAGGCACAGCAGCTCTGATTACTGGAATAAAGAGCAAAGCACTACTGACTGGATTTTATAACTGCTGCTTTAATGAACCCAACATGACAGACATGTTCATGCATCAAGGCCGATGCAGACGTGAAAAGCAGACGGAGGATGTGCGTGGTTTTCTTTTCTCATAATTTTAGAGCCTGATGGAAAAACAGCTACCGAGTCTGTAAATGAGGGAGCTGGTGCCCAACGTACCCCTGTCCCGGGTCGAGAGCGATGGCCCGCGGATGCTCCATCCCTCCGGCTATGAGCGTAGTGCGCATTTCTCCGTTAAGCTTGGCCACCTCGATCTGGTCCAGATTGCTGTCGATCCAGTACAGCTTCCCAGTGATCCAGTCCACAGCCAGACCCTCCGGAGTGGCCAGGCCGTGCTGCACGACCACCTCGATTCCCGTTACCCCTGAAACAGCATTAGCAGCAAGACCGCATGACTTCACGTTCTTTCACATTCATTCAGCCCTGAACTTCTCTAATCGCCGCTCGGCTGAACCGCGTGCCAGAAAGCTGGATTTAACAGAGCCCTGCTAGCTCTTTAAGTCAGCGCGATGTGTGATTGAGTCCCTGTGAGAACAGACCCTAACCCTGGGCGCTGACAGCTGCATGCTCTGCTCAAGTGCTGCACGTTCCCGCACCGTAGACGACGCTTAGACCTGATACTACCAACAGTTTGCACTCATCATGTGTGGAAGTAGCTCATACAGCACTGACATAACCGACAGTCAGCAGGAAGCAGTGGTTAGTGCAGGAAAACATTCATGAAGCAAACAAAAAAACTGAATAATCTGGAGGGAAGCTGTTTAATACAAAAAAAGGCAAATGGGTTAGAAATATATGAAAATCCATCTGTTTACAGCGATTCTCAGATGGATGGACTTTTGTGGGTGTTTCACAGAGGGTGGAACAGCCACAGAGGTGATATCTACAGCTCCACAGAGGCAAATAAAGGCTCGGGAACTCAGTGAATGCACTGCCACCCACAAAAATAAAGAGCGAATGAGAAATTCTGATTCATCATTTTATGAGACTTTGTACTACAAAAGCTTTAGACTTGTGCAGTATTTGTAAGTTTGGCCAACCTGAGATAAACTGTAAGGAGACAATATCAGCCCTGTGCAGCAGAAATGAATCTGTGTGACAGCAGCAGAATAAAACAGAACAATATCATCGTCGCTGTCTGAGAGGAAAAATGAGCGAAGCGTGAAGGTCTTACTGACAGTGTGTGAGAGCATACCTCCAGACTCTGAGAGCTTCCCCCTGTAGATCTTATCTTCCACCACGTCTGTCCAGTAAAGGAGGCTGTGGTTGAAGTGGAAGTCTAACGCGATGGTGTTCCTCAGTCCTGGCACCAGCAGGCTGTAGTCTCGTTTGTGAAGGTCTATTCGTCGTATCTCGTGCCGGATCGAGAAAATGACGAAAGCCTCAAAGGGATCTAGTGAAGGCGACACAGTCGAAATAAGCTTTATTCTTATGTGTAAATTATCAACGCAGCATGAGAAGAATGAGACTCAACACTGTGGCCGTCTTCATCAGGATTTTCACCGTAAGGTATTAATGACACAAAGACTCATTTCTGACTATTGTTACCAAATATATTTAAAAAACAGACAAGAAAAAAAATAATACTAATCTACCATGAAAACTAAAATAAACCACGACCCTCATGAATCACGTGAATAGATATTTGGTAAGACTTAGGGGTGGGGGAAAAAATCGATACTGTGTAGTATCGTGATATT